AGGACAGCACTAATTTATTTGTCATATGATCTTAGATGTGAGCTATTATTTATAAACATTTTCCTACAGTAAAATTGTATGCATATGCTGACACAAGATTATTTCCATTTTTAATCAATGTCTTTAATCTAATTTTCAAAGTACCTAGGTTTAGCAGTGCTCATGCTGAGAAAGTATGTTTTAATATTAGTGTTTATGCAAATCTTCAGTGATCTTTTTGGCTGGAGAAACTAATTCACATGAAATAATCTTCAAAGTTATTTTATTTGGTTTGAATTATTGTAGGTCATCTTGTTTTCTGTCTAATGATATACATATTTGCTGTACTGATAATTGAATGAAGGCTACTTATTGTAAGAAGTGCTGTAAATACACAGAAATCCTTTTATGTTACCTTCTCTTTAAGTGCTGGGATTATAAGCATTAGCAATTGCATATGGATATATAAAAGCCAACACTAAATCTTGTGTTTTGAATAATCCACTAAGGATTATGTCTTTATGAAAACTATACTTTTATGATTTTTATAGAAGCAATTGAGAGACAGCGAATGGATGTGACTCAATTGCTTATTTTTTTAAAAGCTGGTTTTGTGCAGATAAGTAAATGCTTACCTTTCAATAAAGATGGTGATGGTAACCTATTCAGTTGGCATAGGGAAATTAGCTCCATGTCAATTATAAGACAGATGCACTGTATGCTGGGCTCATGAATGCTCAAATTTTGTGAATGTAAAGAAAGTTGACCTTAAAGTTTCCAAAGACTATCTTGGTTTTTAATGTGTTAAAGTAACATAGTCTTAAGGAAGGAAAGGATGTTATTATGAGCTCTTCATGGCACAGTTTCATATCCATGATACCTTAAAATAATTAAACATTTGTATGTGTATATAACAGCAACGATTAAAGAGGAGAAAAAATGGGAAAGAATGGGGCAATGTAAGTACACTTTTATTAAGTATAAAAGTAAAAATGTGTAAATTAAAAATGATTAAGTCTGCTTTACTCATTATTTCAAGGTGAATCTGATTTTAGAGGTACACCATCACTAATTATTAGATGATAGTCAGTCTGTACTTTCAGATAACTGATAATCACTTAGTGATGATGTTTTTGGTTGATAAAGTAAGTAGGGAAGCTCACCTTAGAAATATGCATCCTAATCATTTCACAAGTTATCTGGGTTTTTCCAGAGTTGATCATTATTTAAGATAGCTGTTAGATGGGGAACCATATTTCTTGAGAATACATGAATATAATAAGTGTCAAATTTTGTAAGACTGAAACAGCCACAGCAACAGCATCTTGAGAGTAAAACTAGGTGATGAGAATTCATTATAAGGTATTATATTTCAACATACTATCAAGGAATAAAGGAAAACTTTACATGATAATGTAGTAATTTGACGTTATCATAATCACAAAGTCAATTACTTCCTTTTTGTACTATATTGATTTACATATGTGAGTAATACTGTGGAATAAGTGAGCTTTGTATTATGGTAGAGATATCCCTGAGGGTACTGAATTAATAATAAAGATGTCTAAAAATCACATTTTGGAGATGAGAAGATGACTTAGTACTGAAAAGTACTTCTTGCTGTTCTAGAGGACCTGGGTTTAGTTTCTGTCATCCACATCAGGTGGTTCATAACTGCTTGTAATTCCATTTCCAAGGGATCTGACACTCTCTTGCCTACATGGGCACATGCATAGTCTACATAAAAAATATTTAGGCACACACCCATGAACATAAAGAAATTGATAAATAAATCACATTCCATAGGTTTAAGTCTTAAATTGGGTAATACCATTATTTTAGACCAATGATGGGATTAGAAGATATGTGTGTAGAATTGATCAGTCATATCTTTAGGAGGGAAGGAAAGATGGGGGGAGAGTTGCAGAGGAGACACCATTGATATGCCTCAATAACTGAAGGAATTCATGCAAGATCCCATCTCTTAATAGGGCATGGCAGTTTCTTGGGCCCTGAAACTTTATTATACAAAACTCTGAGGAGCACATATTCAAACTTAATCGCAATCCTTTAGTGGTTTGATTGAAATTATATTTACATCATGGTGTATAAAGCATCTTATGGAGGAAGTTTGTCCTACATGACAACATTGATTCATTAGTTATTTACCACATGACCTTGCTCAAGGTTGGTTGGATTTTCTATAATTACTTATATTGCAATCACAGAAGATCATGCCATCACCTAATGTGATTCTTGATGTAATTTTTTGGAAATAAGAAGTAATGTATGTCTTATGATCTGTGGCACATATTAAATTCTTAGTAAAATTTATTGCAAGAAAGAAAAAGTATATCCCACTTAAGTGGATCTTTCCCTGAAGAACTGGAGTTTGAATGAGGAGCATGGTATTTCCTGTGTTGTACATGGTTTAAAAAAATTGAATTTTGTTGACCTTCAGTAACTGTCCCTTTTAGATTAGAATAACATTCTGAAGCATTCATATTTGTTGTAATAGTGAAATGATACAAGATACAATAGAATTCATACTTGTTTTCTTATAAACCATCTCTTTACTGAAGAGGCAGAACCATGGACAATACAGGGACAAGGACAATAAATGCCCTAAGCATATTATTTCTGGGGTTTATGCATGCATTGACAAACATGTATGAAATGCATACACACAGAGTTTATGTAATTTCTGTGGCAGAAATCTAGGAATCCTAAATATTTATCAACTTTGAGCTGATTTATTTACATTAATATAATATCAGGTTGGATCCATAAAATAAAATGGATTAAAGTTCTCTAACATATATTAAATGAAAAAATCAGGCAAATTAGATGCAGTAACCTACTGTATATCTAAGAATCTACATAAACTGGGAAGGATATTTTTCTTTGGTGGAGACTCAATTTTTAAGTTCTTTTAATTATTTTTTATCAATCAAACATATATTAATATAAGTTTAGTTTAAAAATTCCATGAAAGCTAATAAATGAATAAATACCTAATAACTATATTATGATTGTTGGGTTATAATTGACTTCTAGTTATATATGTGATACATACTAGCTATTATATAATTACATAAATAATCATATTAATATTAATTTTAAAAGATATAAAATTCACCTATTGATTCATAATAAATATAAATAAACTACAATTTCTTTTATATAATTGCATAATAGAACATGTTTGTTTTTAATATAGATATATATATTTCATTTGAAACAAGCTTTTTTTACATATCAATCTCAGTTCCCACACACTCTTGTCCTCCTCTGTTCTGCACTCCAGGGAAGATGAAGCCTTCCATGGGGAGTCTTCAAAGTCTATCATCTCATTTTGGGCAGGGCCTAGGCATTGCCCCATGTGTCTAGGCTGAGGGAGTATCCTCTATGTGGAATGGGCTAAAACATGTTTTTACTTTGAGTTTTTCTGAAAAATTTCAGAATTAAAAGAGAAAATTTCAGTATTCAAAATATAGACAGAAATTTTATTGATCTGAGAAGCAGTGACAATGCTATGACTACATATACATCTCTTCATTCACTAGTTTATTTTAGATAGTTTCAATATTTTCATAATTTTCTCATTATTTACATCAGTGAATATAGGATCTTGTAATCATATCTACCCCTGATTCCCTTCCTCCATTTCCTTCTCTATTCCATCATGAATTTTCTCTTCTATCTTCATGTGCTCAATTTGTAAAACAACATATCCACTTCATTCTGCCTATATGTGCACTATACTGTATCATGACTAGCCTCTTAGGTGTCAAATTGATGAAGAACATTGACTCTTATCCAGAAGCCATCATTGGCTAAAATTTCTAGAATAAGGGTGAGACTTCATAAACCCCTACTCTATGTTAACATTGTCTGGCTTAATTTAGTAAAGGTCTTGTGCATGGAAACACGCTGTGTGCGCCATCTCAGTACCTATTTTAAAACAATAGAATCACTCTCTTATATTTAGATATATATTTAAGTATTGTGATATATAATTCTAGTAGCAGTGTGGCTGAAATGATAGTATTGATGTTTTACATCCAGCCTTGGATATATAAGCAGGGCCCTGACTCAAACCACAAATCTTAAAAAAATGTACCATTTATGAGATCTTTAATATTGGCTTTATAAAAAGTGTCCTATAAGTAAAGTTAAACATATTTGTTTCATCTTATAATCATTATTTATTTTTGGCATATTTTTAAATCAATGTGTGTTTCTGCTTCTGTGGATATTTATCACAGCTTAATTAAATTAAAATTCTTTGGGTAATTTTAAAGATTCTTAAAAATTAATTACTTTGCTTTGAAAGGTTTAGGCTTGACTATCTGGAACTTTTATACAGATTTTAGAGGGGAAAAAAATAAATACTGAATCCCACACAGGTGACAGTCAATCCTCGGAAAGGAGAAGAAATCGTCACACACTAGACACTTTAAAAATACAAATATGAACTTTAAAAATTCAATGTATGTTACATGCTTATATGTATTTTTCTCCAGACATGCCTATTTTGCAATGTACTGATTTTTGTCTTAAAACAATTACAGTTAACATAAACATAGTCTTTTTTTCTCGAAGAACAGACAGGGCTTCATTAGATTTGCTTCTTTCTATATCTAATGGTGTGTGTGTGTGTGTGTGTGTGTGTGTGTGTGTGTGTACCTGGTATATAGCAGGCCATAATTAAAGATGTAAGTTATACAACAAAATGAATTAATAGAAAGATAAAGAACATTATGTGGGATATGATCATTTAAGCAACCTACAATTTTGAGAGTGGAATATGCCTTTCAAATGTTAAAGACAGAGAGTTATTGGAATGAGAACATATTACACATTTCCATTGTAAAGCTTTTTATGCAAAAATATTGGAGTTGTAATTAATAAACCTCCTAATATGATTGTGGTTGAACATATAATTAACAGCAAAAACTCCAAGTATTTTAAAAGCATGTTTTGATGCCTTTTCTTTGTTCTGTTTGCCTCCTCTGAAGAGTCCCTGTATCCATTCAGCCAGGTATTGAGAAGCAATGTAGTGGCTGACAACCCTTCCCTCTGACACCATTCTCAGCACCACCTTTGGAGATGCGTTCACTCTGTTGGTTTTCTGCAGTAGCCAGGCCGAGTGCTGATTCCTTCATGGTAGTGAGGAACTCTTCAGGATCCAGAAGTAAGTTGCATATTTCAGTCTCATCATTACCAGTAAGTTTAAAGACACTGTGGGAAGGTTCATTGGAAATTTTTGCAAACTGCCAGGCAAATTGAAGTCAGATTTATCCATTATTGATTGTAATTTTTTTTCTTTTCTTTCTTTTGAGTCTGATTTTTCTTGATATCAATAGTTTACTAGTTTCATATTGATATGCACATACTTATGAGATTTTCTGGTTTCTTTTCATACTCATGATTTGTATGCATTGCAAGATATAATTGCCTTGATATACCTTAGAAAATGAAAGCGTTAAAATAACTTTGTGATTACTAAACAGATTCAGGATTACCAGGTATTGCATCAAACTTGCTTTAAATGAAAACAGAAGGCTATAGGTAGAACAATGGGTTGGTATTATAAATAATATTTTGCCTGATTATCTGTATTTTGGAATGCAATGGTCTGTCTGTTTAAAAGTTTATTTCAGCCAACAACAATGCACTTTAGAAAAGAAAAATAAATGTCAATTGTATATAGAAAAATGAATTGTAAATAGAATATTTGAAAACTTGATAAGCTATAAAAACACAAAATCTGCATATAACAACCAAAACATCTGCTGTTATAGATTTATGATTTTCCTAAATTCTAACAAGACATATAAATACATTGCTTGCTTGATTATGTTTATACCACTTAGAATTTAAGAAAAAATTTCCTGGAAAATAAGTCTTTTTTAAATCATCAATTTGTTATTTTTCAAATTTTATGTTTTTATTTGAGATATGTTTTTCTATATTTCAAATGCTTTATATATATATATATACATAAACATAACATATTTTTCATATTATGCATGTATATATGTCTTTAAAATACTTTATAGTAAGTTACATATACAAAACACATAACACACAAAAATATCTATTATTACTCTAGGAAATGTATCATGCAAAATGTCCATGTTCAGAAAATATCTGTAAAAGTATTTTTATAAACTGCAACAACGGTTTGCTGAAGCAATTATTTTATTTAAAAAAAAGTTAAGAATCAGATATCGTGGTATAAATCTGATAGATCCACAGAGCCATAGAGAAATGATCATCTGATACCTCCTCTCTACCTTCTCAGATCAAAAAAGGCTGGAATCTCTCAAAATCCTCCCCTATTCCTTCCTTTGTCTCTCTCCATCATAATCTGAGTCTGCCAAAAATTCTAAGGTTAATTCTGGCCAGCTGAATGTGTACTCTGACCTCTGATTCAAGGTTTAACTTTACTGGCAATCTTTGGAGTGCCACAATGTGATCAAAGTAACCCACAACAGTTTGGCTTAACTTCAATTTCATGTCAATTATTGTGTGTTTATTAAATGAAATTAGCTCAAAGGAAGTGGGAACAAGATGCTTCATAAGCACAGTTTAATTTGGCAGCACATTGCAATGCCAGGATTCCTTCAATACAAATATCTATGCCATTACTGGAGAATAAAGATTAGTGTTAATAATTTCTCTCTTTATTATGCTACTAATTATGTAAGATTAAGGATGTCAGCAAGAAGCCTGTTATTGCTTTCATGCCCAAAGTCATGTTAGAGGGCTGCATTTAAGATCTAATAAGCATATATCTATATTATCAAAACAAAGAACTAGTTATAACAGTAGTTGTAACACTAAATACTAAGTTGACAAATTAAAGATCATTTTTAGTGTAGCATATCCCTGTATTTATTTTATTTATTCCTCTACCATTAATACATCATTTATTCACTTACTTTGAGGCTTGCGTTTGTTTTATGATTCCTGACGCTTCTATTGAATAGAGCATCTTGAGAAAGACACCTCAATCTTCATCTTTATAGATCTTAAGCAAATTTGGCAATGTCACATATTTAAGGAAAATTAATGAACAGTATTTTTTTTTTACTTTCTCCTGATAAGCTTCACTTTTTCTTAATGAAACCATTTAACTTGAGAAAAGCTGTTGGCTAAGAAAATATATTTATGAGTGTGATTTCTTAGTATTAATCACAGAACATTGAAATCAAACACAGTTTCATATAGTAGTGGCTACATAAATATCTATTTAATTCATGAGAGTGGGATGCTACAGATTAAATATTTAAAATTACAATTGTTGTAATTTAACAGTTAATGAAGTTTTCTGTTTGGTTTTATTTTTAATTTTTAAAAGTGGAACCTTTCTTCATTTCTTTCTTTGTTACTTCCTTTTTAAATAAGGAAAAATGTTAGGCCAAAAGTAACATATTAAATTTATTTTTGAAAAAAGAGAAAGTAAATCCATTCCTAGTTAGGTGCTAATTTCAAATGCTTCCTTGAAAATTCATAGCACATCACTAGTATTTCTCCATAAAACAAGTATAATTGCTTGAACAGTAACTTGAGAGTAAAACAGAAAATGGAGAAGTAAACATGAAAAGCAATGGAATCCTTTTACAATAGAATATGCCTATTATAACTCAGAGCAGCTAAGGTGACTGTTGTTCTACTAATAGTTTTCTCTCTCATTTTAGTTTTTGACCATCAAAAGTATATTTTACCCCCTTTTACTAATGCATATCTTGAAATAAAAAGAGTGTTGGTGGAACTAAAAGTTATACATATTCATGTCTTAATAGGTGTACTTATATATGCACACTTGGGTGAGTACATGCATATTACACTGTTTCATGAATTCATAATAGGAACAATATCTCCAAAAGCTCCTATAACTTCTAAATATTAAGATTATTTTAATAGTTTATTTATTCTACAGAAATTCCATATTTAGGATTTATATATTATACCCAACAGTGATATTGATAATGCTATGCATAAGTAGCACATTATGTTGAATAATTATATTTAGTAGAGCTATTGAATGATCAGAATTTTCACTTCTTAATGCCTAGGTCCTAACTAGTAATAATTTATTTCATTCTCTTAACCATTTTTATGAAACTAAAAGCAATATGCTCAATGAGATAGTCTAAGTTTTCACATTGATATATTTTTATACATGATCTATATAAATAAACAAAACAAACATCTTCAGTAGGACATCTTCAATACCCTACCTTTGAAAGCTCAGCTGATTATATGAAGGGATTATCTACTAGATTTAGTAATTCCCACATCAAGAGCAAAGGAAGAACTTGGTAAATAATGCATTTTGCAAGAGAAAAAAAAAAGAGATTTTCTAAGAAAGCCAACCTAAAACAGACTCTACCAATGCTATATTCTCAACATTCTTGCCAGTTACTTTCAATAAGATACAATTAATTACCAAAGTGTTTTGCACTGGACATGTTTCAGAGGAATCTTAGTTGCTTTCCAAATAGATCCTTTTCATAACTGGAGCTGCTACTGACAAGCAATCGCAGTGTCCTGCCATTAAAACAAGTCTGGGAATTTGGTGACACTCTCCCAAGGTAAAAAGGGAGCAGATAAGACCACTCTCTAATATAACTCATCAGCAATGAAGCAGGACCAAACTTCTACAAGCAACAGAGAATCATGTCACTTCTTTTTATTTGCCAAAGACAACTCTCACCTAATCTGATCTGATTTATCTACAAAAACAAGACCCTACCTTCACTCTTCTGACGAAGGTACAAAGGAATATAACTCATTTTTTTTCTTACTAAACCACGATTACACACTTGTAGGGAAAGGAGGATAACACAACACAGAGGCACCTACCTAGGGAGAAATAGGAATTGAAAAGTATAAATTATCATGTACCTTACATGTGGGAAATAGCATCATCGAAGACAAGAGAAATAGAGTCATTGTAAATTGCATTTGTCTGGCTTGCAGAGATAGATTTCAACTCTAGACTGCTGTTAATGAGCTGATGTGTTGTCCTTTCCAGATTAAAAATCACAGAAGCTGGAGTGACAATGCACAGATTTCCAAAAGCCCCTAAGGGCAGAAAACAGAACTGAATGTGTCTTCAATATTAGTAGAGCTTGATGCAGAGAGTCTCTGCCTTCTATTCCTCTGGCTTGTGTTGGCCCATAGCATTGCCAATGCAGTATTTCCTACAGAGCACTGCCTGTGCAAAGTCTGCACAGATGTTCTCTTTTGCAGGTAGTGATGACTTAACATTTGGGGCCAGGAGAATTCAATGCCCTGTGTTGAGAACTCTCAACACTGGGATTTTAGTGAGTGGAAGCAATCACTATTGTTAGATATTGGCTTTGAAATAAATATGGAAGGGCCAATTTATACTCAATCAACCTAAAACTATCTTGGTAACTCTGACAAGCACCTTTGATCTATAGTTAACTATCATCTATCATTGTGGGCAGCTGTGGAAATATGTCATATTTAGAATATTCTGGGTAAATGGATGCATCTCTCATCACATTAAACAGAGTGTGGGAAGCATTGCATCAAGAAAAACCTTGGCATTCTATCCATAGACTACTTTTAGTGAAAATTCATGTCTTATCCTGGGAAGACATTCAGAATAAAAGAATCTAAATGTTAAATTGATGAAAATCTCCAACAACATTTTCAGTGAATTCTGCCAAACAGGGACTAACTGATAGACATAAAATTATCAGCTGAAAACATTAAGAAAAATGAGTATTTGTTTTTGAAGTAGGAAGGTGGATGGCATAATTAATTTCAGTTTAGAGTTTTGATGCAATAATCTTCCTAAAATTGTTTAAAGGATGGTAATGGAAGATGGCAAATAAAACATCTGGTTGAGATGCTGACATGTGGGCTATGCTTGGGATGTTGGCCAATGATCACCACTTCTGTCATTGCTAATCACCCACAAATACTGCATAGCTGTGACACTGTATGGTGGTAATGTGATTCCAGGTCTAACTGACCTCACTTTTGAACTTGGTAATTCAAGGCATGAATATAAAATCTGCATTGTAAGTTTGACATCCCCAATTCAGGAGCATTCATTTTGGCTAGATATGAGAATTCAGAGTTGTTTTCTACTCATGTATGTCTTAAAAGGTTTTTTTTTTTTTTTTTTTGTTCATTTGCTTTTATTCT